CCCCCCTCCCCACGGACCCCCTCTGGGTAAGCTGAGGGTCTCTCCCGGTGTTTATCCTTTTCCAGAGGGTCTTTCCCACACCTGAATCCTGAGCAGTTGCTGGATATCGTGTGGGAATGGCCCAGATAAACAGGTGATCCCACCCCACTGTCAGCAGCAGGGGTAGCACCACCTTGCTGGTGTGGTGCACTCTTGGAAGGGGGAGGAGGAAATAAGATCTTTATATATATATATATATATAAATACTCCTTTAGAGAGTAGTGTCCTGTTATCCTTGGCTCTGGAGAATGGCTCTGGACAATCAGCTGGAGAGGGAAACTGTGCCACTGCCACTTTAATCTGAAGGAAGATGAGATGAGAGCAGAGAGAGGTGGATTTGAGTCCATGTGGAGAGGGAGCATGGGTTAAGGAATGTGAGTTCCTTACATAAGCAGAGATAAATTACCCCAAATTATGTTTTTGCCCTTGCCCCAAGTAATGGGACACCTGTGAGTGCTGGAGAGGGATTATGGTTGAAGGTGAGGGGTGGGGACACACGTAATTTATAGGCTCCACTCCCAAGCATTTGAACCAAGGAGGGGTGGCCCAGCCAGAGGGGGAGAAAACAGGGAATGAGAACAGTGGGGAGGGCAACAGGGAGCTTGGCTGGGCCATTCCCACTGGCCAGCAGCCTCTGGGCAAAGATCCAGAGTGGTGAGGCTGTTAATGACAGGGCTTTGCTTCCTGACAGGGTGGATGAGGAGTCAGCTTCCGTCCTCTACGAGAACCTCAACATCAAAAGCCCAAAGGTTTCAGGGATGAGTAATTCAGGGCGATAGAGGAGCTGTGTGGAGCCTCCACAGGTAGGAATGGCCCCCTGGGGTCACCCCAGAGTGTCACCACGCTGGTTTGTGCCACGTCTGAGCAGCTCCTCTGCAGCTCAGTGCCGTGGTTTGAAACTCCCCAAAAAATCCAATTTTCAAGCCTCCCACAGTTTGTTTCCTGGGCACGTCTCAGAGGCTCTGCCTGGAAATGTGGGGTGGAATTTGGGGGAGCCTGAAGATGTGGCCGTGGGAGAAAGGGGGTGGAAGTGAGATCTCAACAGAGAAACACGTTTATGATGTTCCCAGGGAGGGGGGAAATCCCAGTATTCTCAGTATTCAATATTATCAATTAATAGCAGCTTTTCAGGCTGTTCTATCAGGGAGCTGTGGGACTCTGGGGACAAGGCTGAGCTGTGTGTGCAGACACTCCCCATGCTGGGAACATCTCAGTTCTGTAACCTGTTGTAAACCTGCCACCCTTCTTCCCTTCTCGTTTTGGAATGCAGGATTTCCAGTGTTTACGTCCACCCTCCCCAAGTTCTGCGACTGAGGACAATTTTGTTTGCCTGTCTTGCCTTCCCCCAAGCACCTTGGATTTGGAGAGGAGGGGAGAAGCTGCCCGAGAACCTGCACCTAAGAACATGCCTTATCCTAACTTATTCATGAGAAGGATCTCCTCCCACTCTCCCCCTGCATCAGTAGGTTGATATTTATGTGAAAGTGCCTCTGGACATTCATTAGGGCATCAAGGCTCAGCTTCAGGGTTGTTTTGGTTTTTTTTTTCTTTTTTTTTTTTCTTTTTTTTTTTTTTTACTATTTTAATTTAAACTTCTTATTTTTTACCCGCAAAGGAACGGAAACAACTCTTTGCTTGAAGCTTTCCCGGGGTCTTTGCCCACTCAGGGCTTCAGTAAAACCTTAGCACTGTCAGGTTTTCATTGGGTCGACCCATTTCTAAGCTACAAAGTGGTTTTAAGCCTAAATCCTGGAATAACTTTGCCTGGTGAGGGTGAGAAGTGGAGAGCACTGCCTGGACCCAGCTGATGCCTCTCCTCACACCTCCTTTTGGCTGTAGCAGTTCCCAGATTTCCTATGCAATGCTGCCAGAGTGCATGGAATGATCCCAGCTCCGTGTGCAGCCTCCAACTGCTCTTCCCAGTTCTCCAGCAGAGTCGAGGGGCACAGAGGGGCACCTCCATCCTCAATGCTGGGCTCAGTGAGGTCCCCCCTGAGTGCTGAGGAGCAGGGACACAGCTCTGGGCACTGGGCTTTCAGCCAGCCCTGCTGAGAGCAGCCTGGGGGGATGATCCGAGCTGGAATTCTGGAGCTGGGTCCCCCCTAAGCTCGAAGCAGCTCTGCCACGACCTTTTTGCCACCCCCTTCCACGCCTGTGTGACAAGGCAAGTGTTGTTTCTGCCCAGTAGGGCTGTTGTAGGTGTGTTTGTGACCTGAGCAGTGCCAGGAAACGAGTGTGTTGCAGAGTGGAGTGTCCCAGCTCTCTTAAGTCTTAGTGCTTCCTGCAGTTCCAGCCCCAAGTCCTGCCAAAGAAACCCTTCCTGCAGGATCCATCAGCCTGGAAGTGTGTTCTGGGGGGAGCCTTGGGTCTGAGGGCCAGTGCCTGAACCCCCAGAGCAGTTTT